GATCAGGTTCTTCCTGACGTCAGGGTCCAGCGGAGGGCATCGAGACCCGAGCTATATATAGGGCTAGGGGCAGGCGGATAGAGCAGCGACTGGCCACAGAGGAGCACAGCCGTCCTCAGGAGAGTGGGGAGCGGAGAGAGGGGAGTGGGGCTGGGGCCCTGCACCCCCTTCCAGTCTTGGGCAACTCATCCCAGGCACCTCCCCACTGCCCTCAGGGGAGGCCTGGGCCTTCCCAGGACCTGCACTCTGCCTTTCCCGGGGCATTGTGCCAGAGGGCAACTAACTAATGGCCATGGAGGAGAAGAGAGGCACAGGCACTGTGAGATTGTGCAGGCTGAGGGGAGGTGAGGTGGAAAGGTGGTGGGACCTGCACTTCCTCCTTCATCCGTCACTGAAAGGTCAGGCGACTCCCACCTCCTGGGCAGGTCAAGAACATTCTCTTTTATCCCCCGGACCTGTGAGGGGGAAGAGGGTGCTGGCACCACAGAGTGCCCACTAGTGCCTGGGGAGGAGACTGCTCTCCCTGAGGTAGGTTGGGAAGCGAGGTAAGTGAACTGGACTCCAGAAGAAAGGCAGGAAGGCAGACCTGAGACCTTCGCAGCCCATGGCCCACGCCTGGGAACTTGGGGAGGTGAGAAGTCCCGACAGTGCATGCAGGAGGAAAGATGTGGGCCCTGTCTACAGGTGGAGGCGTGAGGTGAGGTGATGAGGACGGAAGAGAGCCTCCAGGATCTGGCCGGACCCTGGAGAAACAGCCTCTGAGCATGGAGCATCCTGCATGTGGGCACGATCTTTGTTGGGCTCTGGCGCCCCCTCGGAGGACTGTGCCGCCCTTACCCCACCTGGACTCCTGTCAGGAGCTCCAGGAACCCCTACTCTCCCTCAGGGCAACAGGCACTAATGAACAAAAGGCCAATTAGACACTGGGGTGCGGCTGATGAATGGACCTTTCGCTTTCAAGCGTGGCACCGCCTCGGGTTTCCTGGCATACAGGGTCTCGCCTGGAGAAGCAGCCTCCCCCAGAGGGGTCATGGCTGGGGTCAGCAGGTTCTCAAAACTCCCACTTCCCCCTCTGCAGGGCTGCTAAGCAATCGGCACCGGCACCGATTTAGATGTTGAGCCCCAAAACCAGGCATGGGGGAGCCCTGTCTGAACACTCTAGGACCCTTTCCTCTCACACCTGATTCTTTGGGTGGCACCCAGGTAAATCAAAGGCTGATGGCTGGAATAATAAAGGCAGTGAGGGAAATGCACTGTTGCAAAATAAGGTGGTTGCCTGCCAAAGTCCAGGCTGAGTGGGGCAGCTCAGGGCATGACCCAGGCTGTGCTTCCCCTCCAGGCTCACACAGGCATAACCCAGACGTGGCACGCAGGTGCCCAGCTGGGAAGCCATCTCGGAGCCCACCCCAGGAAACACTCTAGGGAGTCCAGCCTGCCCCGCCCTCTAAGAGCCACACTGTTACACACTGCAGTCCACACTGCAGCCCAGCGCCCGAGGCGCTCCGTAGCCGGCTTCTATACCTTTGCGGTCACAGTCTAGCTGCACCTTCCTGCCCTAACTCAATTCATCCCGGAGACAGAAGGAAAGCTGGGCGCTATGACACTCCATCTACGCAAGTCGCTGGCCTCCACGGTACCAACACAGTGGCAGCGAGCACAATTAGCACCTTCACATCCTGCGGATAGTCCTGGCTCAGACAGTTACAGCACCCCGCAAACACAACTGGTTTGCAGACAACTCATATACTCAACTGACACAGCACAGCCTCTCACCCAAACTCACACCCACAACCTCCTTTCCACTTGCAGCTTCCCACAAGCCAGCAGCAGCCCAGTCCAGCCCAGCCCGGACCGCCTCCCCCACCCATCACCACCACCAGCAAGTGGGGCCCTGAGCCAGGCCTTTGAGCCCTCAAAGTCCCTCCCCAATCGGCCTGGGTTTCCCAGACTTTGTTTCCTGAGACTCGAGGCAGGGATGGGGAGGAGTCGAGGTTTCCAAGGCCTTGAGCAGGCCCGAGCCCCCTTTCTGCCTGGCCCGCTTGTCGTGGTTCTCCGCCTGCCACAATCCGCCCCTCGCACAAAAGTGGCCCGGCAGGTTCCAGGCCGCCGCCAACACTCTGCTCCAGCTCTGCTCGACTGCCAGGAGCAGAGTCGGACGAGGGAGCTGGAGGGCACTAGACACCCAGACAAGAGGCAGAAACAGGTAACTCGGAAAGCCCTGAGTTTCTGAGTTTCTGGGGACTTGAAACCTACCCCCCAACCCTCTGACCCACCTGCTCAGGGGGTCCCTGGGCTGCGCAAAGGAACGATCCCAAGGGAAGAACAGCACGTGCATCTCTCAGGAAGCAGACGGTCCTCTTGTATTTTACATTCGATTTGACCGCTCTGGGAAACCCACACTGAAAACCCACTTTCTCATCTCCTTAAATCCACTTGGCACAGGGGATGCACAGGGAAGACCCATAAGTAATCAAGGAAACAGGGCTTGGATCAAAGGTGTAACCTAAATCCCCATTCGGGATAACCAGCAAGACACAAGGTGACACGTTCGTAAGCGGCTGGCCACAGGCAGGGGAGAAGACAGAATCGGGGGACCCCATACCCACAGGGTCCTGCCAGGGGCAGCCAGGCCTGGCACCCCTGGGCCATGAGAAAAAACACAGACCTGGGCCAGGCAGCTCCCACGCACCCTGCCCACAGGGCTCCAGCCCAGATGGCTGCCCGGCAAAGGGGCGCCGATGCCTGGCACACGCGCACGCACCCGGCCGGCGCCCCGCGCCCAGATAGTCATCGTGGGGTGGCATCTCGCAAATATTTATATTCCTCAGCGCCACGGCAGCCTCGTCCACATTAGACGCTCTAATCCTGCCACTTTAAATAGATGAATTAATAAAGCAAACGAGGAGCTAATAAGCTGACTGTCCTGCCTTTTCGAGGCGGGGGAACGACTGGAAAGTGCGCCAAATTTGTTTGCAGTGGATCAAGGCGAGCCGCCTCTGCTTCACTTTCTTTATCTTAATTCCAACTTGAAAAGATATAATTATCTAGTTTGAACAGAGCTGCTATCAAATCCTTCTTTGGGCCGGGAAGGGGGGCGTTGGAGTGGATTGCGGCTCTCTGAGCCGCTCGGTGCAGCCTGAGATAGCGCGTAATGAAGATGTGGAGGCCCGAGATACAAAGGGCATTAACCTCATTAGCATGAAACCTTTTCTTCTTACCATTGTGGGACCCTTTCAGCCGCCTAATCCCCCCTATTTTCAAAGCTTGGTTTGTAATAAAGCTTTTAGGTTTTTTTTTTTCAAAGCTAATAGTATTCTCTGATGATTTTATTGCTTACACTATATAGAACTTTTACCCAAAAAATCTTCATCACCTCCCCTTTTCTTGTACTTAAAACATAGCATAAGGATGCTGCAGAAATAAGCCTTTTATCAAGCTGAGAACTTTTTCTTTTTTTTTCCTGGAAAGGTCCATCTGAATTTTAACAGGTCTATGCTTCAAGTGTGAGGCTTTCTGGGTTTGGGGAAGTGGGAGGAAGGAAAACGGAACTTTTTTAGGGAGTGCTTTTTTTAGGGTGGCTTCACCACAAAGCACTCAGAGCAGCACAGGTCCTGGAGGGCTCGAGGCCCGGGCAGCTGAAACCCCTCTTGAGTTTCCAGGACCCTGGGGGCAGCCCCTGCCCCCTCCAGAGGCAAGCCTGTGTCTCCCCGATTGACCCCTCTCACCCAGCATCTTCCTCCAGCCAAGGCTCTCCCACAACACACACCTTCGCAGAAGAGCCAGTGGTGCAAAATCCAGCCATGAACAGCCAGGGTTCTCCGGAGGAAGAGAGGTGGAGAAAAAAGGAAAGACAGGCAGACATAAAGGGGGGCGGGGAAAGAGGGAGAGAACAAGGATGAATTCTACTTTGGAAGAGAGAAGAGGAAAAAAGAAAGAAAAATTTCCATAGTACCCTATAGTCCTCACACGTGCACGGAATGTCTAATCTTAACTTTCCAAGGCAGGATGTTAACAAAGCTTGTATTTTTGCCCTGCATTGTAACTTGGCCTTATCACAGTGTAAAGGGTGGGGAGATTGTCCTAAATTGTGTCCAGGCAGCCCCCCTGGATCCGTGGATTAAGAGATTAAAGGAGACCACTGGGTAAGGCCTCCTCTTTCCCCTTCATATTCCTGGTATGATAATTGCTTAAACTGATTTGCACTTTCACAAAAGCTCGCAGGACGCTTTGTAGCTCGAACAGAACAGACGAGGTTTCTCTATCAATGGAAATAAAACTGATTAATGCAGCCTATCAGGATAAGAAGCAAATGAAGCATGCAAAAACAACCTCGTACCCCAGAAGGGGGAAGGGGGGAGCTAAGTTTCCTCCAAGACTGGTTACAACTTTTTCTTTAATGTTAAAATCGAGAGTCGAAGGCTTCTCAGAATGCTTGCCTTATAAGGCTGCTGAGGCCCTTGGGCTCACCTTCTCGCCTTCAGCATACCGGGGTCAGAACGGGAAAGGAGGAAGGAAGGAATGGAAGGAGGGGAGGGCAGGAGAGGAAGAGAGGGAAGGAGGGAAGAAGGAAGAGTGGAGAGAGAAACTTCTTATTTGGGGTTTGAAGTCAGAAACAGTTGCCTGCTAAGTGTTTTCCCAAATCCTTGGGGAATATTCTTCAGTGCATAACTATGTCCAGATTTAAAAAAAAAAAAAAAAAACAAAAACTAGAGTTTGAGAAGCGTTTTAAACCTGAAATTCAAACTAAATTCCTTCAGTAGGCTTTGTGATGGACAAGATTGGAAAATTTATTTCCCTTCCCTTTTCGAAAAGATTTTTTCCTAATCCTCTCCCCTTTCCACCCTCATCTCTCTTTAAAATATCCAAGAATCCAACAATCTGTCCCTTTTGCGGGTGGGGTGGCCAGATTTCTTGAGCTTTGGGGTGGGAGGGAGATCATATTCAAATGGTAGATACTTTAAAAAAAATTTTTTCACTTCAATTTCCCAAGACAACTACTCTGAGTGCATATTGATAAATCTTTATTGACAAAATATTGACATTGACATACTTCTTGGAAGTATATAGTGTGTTAGAATTCTAACAAATTAACACAAAACACAAAAATATTTACATTCTGGTATAGAAGACATTAAGGAAGCATTTGTCACTCTCTTTAGTAAGTCTATGATCTTGGAATAGAAACTCAGTGCTTGAAAACTTACCACCTTGTCCTTCCCACATTTCACCCCCGCTAACTACAGTCCTTCAGGTTTCGCAGTAGATAGATTTCAAGTTTGGAATGGCCTTTACCATGAATGGTTGAACTGGGCCAATATCTCAACCACTCAAAGGAGAAGTTTAAGCCTCACGATGTTCTTAGGAAAGGGAATGTCCAAGAAATATCAGTTTATGGGTTTTTCCAGCACAAATCCTGACTCCACTTGTGGGCACCCTCCCCCCGCCACCCCCCAGCCCCCCAACCTGCTCCCCATTTCTCCATAAGAGGACCACTATCGCTGAGCCTACTTCATTTAGCTTTCACAATCACTTTGACGTCAGAAGGTATCAAAAATTGTTTACAGACTGCACATTTCTCAAAAAAAAATCAAAAGCAAAAGCACACAGAACCTGTCTTTAAAAGGAAAAGAAAATTACAATTCGTTTTCTGTCATTAGACACCATTCACCCAACAACTGCTACATGCATTTCAAGTTTTTGAACAGGTGTGGGATGGGGCTGGAGATGGAATTCGATTGTTATTATTACTAATTCTTTTTAAAGATGGGGAAACACTGTGAAGTGCAAAAAGAAATTAAAAGTCCTGTGCCTGGTTGGGTTCTTTCTTTTATCATCATATTAGCATCAATTTTTAAAAATCGGACTGTGATAAACGGAATACCTGCTAATCACCTCTTCTCCGGTCTGCTGTTTGACTGACAGTTCCCCTTGCCAGAGTGCCTTCCGCTCGGCCACTTGCATCTCTCTCTCTCTCTCTCTCTCTCTCTCTCTCTGCCTCCCTCTGTCTCTCTCTCACTCAGCTGCCTCTTTAGACCAGGGTTGCACGTCGACGAGGAGCCGTCCTCTGCCATCTTGGCGCCGCGGGCCGCGCCCCTGGCTCTCGCAGCCCAAAGTCCGCGACCGCTTTGGCGTTCTCCCTCTCCTTTCTCCGCGAATGTGTGTGTGCTGTTTGGTTTGGTTTGGTAATTTTTTTCCTTCTCCTCCTCTCTCTATCTCTGTTTTCGCTCCGTGTTGTCCGTGTCTGGAGGGTTCGGTTTGTGCTTTTAATCATCTGAGGTCACATCTATTTCCTCGGGACTTGCCTGCTTGGTAGCGATTCTCCACCGGTTAATATGATGTGTCCCTTTCTTCTTCTGTTGCGAATCTGAGCCTTCCTCCTCCAGCTTCTGTCTTTTGAACTTCGTCCTTCGGTTCTGAAACCATACTTTTACCTGCCGGCAAGAGGCAAAGGGGTGCGTTAATTCCTCCACAGCGCCCTCCTCCCTCTTCCTCCCCAGCCTGGCCCAGAGGCAGCCTGAGACCCGGCCAGCTCTCTACCCTAAGGCCCAGTCTGACTCCCATGGGGAAGCTGAGTTCCTTAGTGTGTGGCAAGTGGAAGCCTGGCTCCCTGCCTTTCTGAGTCTCCCTGGGGTGCCTTTCCCCAGGCCGGCAGCCACGAGCACACAGCGCCCCTTTTCACCTTGCTTGCATCCCACTAAGAGCAAAAGTCTTACAAAGAATGGGCAATCCTGATGACAAAAAATTGGAAAGGAGGAAAAAATGTGAACAGGCATCTCCCCAGTCCTCTCTACCTTGCCAGTGCAGGAAAGACCTCGTTCCAAGCTGCGACAGCTTCCTGCATGGCCCAAAGTACTTTTTTGCTTCTGTCTCCCCAGTGTGGCCTAAATATAGGGCCTTCTGCACAGGGCCTGAGCCCTGGGCAGGTAGTTAGAGTTTGCCTGAGCTCCCCCCATCCCTGCCGGGACAGTAGCAGGTGAGCGCAGCCAGGCATGGGGGTGCAGGAGGAAGCCAAGGGGGTGGCGGGATTCAGGGACTTGGCTCTACCTTCGCACTAGGAAAAGAGTCTAAAAGTGAAAGCTTCTGAAAGACGATGGGGAAAGGGAAAATGACAGAAACTATGAACAGAAGAGAGGGAGAACCCTGTCTTTCCTCCTCTAACCAGTCCCAGGCCAGGTCAGAGCCAAGCTCCCACCCAGTGGCTTCAGATCCCACCAGGGTGGGGCCCGTGGCTGGGCCTCCTCAGAGCGGTTGCGCCTGGTCTAGGGAGCCCTGCACAAGACTGCTGCAACTGAGACATCCCCCTGGAGAAGCTGGACAGTGGTCCCCTTCGGCAACCAGACTGTTACACAGTCCAAGCTTCCCAGCAGCCAGGTAAGGGTGAGAGAAACGGTGACTGCACCTCGAGGGCCGGGGCCTGACCTTCCAGACAGCAGCACCCCGGGCCCCAGAGGCGCTCCTCAGCAGTCCCTCCTTCGAGGCGGCGGCCCGGGTTCCAGCGCGCTCCCTCCGAATGCCTAGTCCCCAAAAGTGCCCCAAGAAAAAACCGAGCTGGAACAAGGCTGAGTTTAATTTGCTTTGAGTTTGCTAATTGAGGGGGAGGACGGTTCATTTCTCTCCGGCGCTCGCCCAAGGCGCCCGTCGGTGCGCTCGGGGCTTGACACGCACACAAAGACTCCAGGCAGCGTGGGCAGCGAGGCGGACAAAGACCACCGCCGCCTCGGCTACCCAGGAGAAATCAGCGAGGCCGCGCCTTGTGCCGGGCCCCGCACCAACCCGCGAGGCACTCCTCGGTTTTGTCCTGGGGTGCGTTTTAAAACAAAAGCCTCGACCTCTTTGCGCCTCCCAGAAAAAAGTGTTACAACTTAATCTGCCCGAAAACGCTACAGTTTGCCGGGAACTTTGACCCGGGCGCGGCTCCGGGTACAGTAGCGCCTACTGTAGCCCTAAGCGTCCTCCTGGCCTCAGGGGCAGGCCGCCCCGACCGTCTCAGAGCCCCGTGGCGCAGGAAGGGTCTGTCCCTCGAGGCAATTCCTCTCCGTAGCTTTCAAGCTCTGTATCTCTGATTTCCCCTCGCACCCAGGATGCCCAGTCTCCCGCCTGAATCTCTGACCCCCTCACGGGGAGTAACTGGAGCCGACCGGTGTGAACCCTGGGCCCGCAGGCGCGTGGAATCGCCCCTTCACCTACTCCCAGCCCTCTCCAGCCTTCAATCCCAAACGCTCACGGCACCTGGCTGTGCGGCTCTCCCCTTTTCTGGACCCCAGCCGAGTAGCCAAAGTCACACCAAAAGTCTCACCAAAAGTGCAGAGGTGTCTTAGCCAGGAGCTGTAACTCATGCCCAGCCGGGCAGAAGGAGCCATGGGCCCATCCCTCTAGAGCCTGGGGTGGGCAGCGCCGAGAGTCCCTTGCTGGAGCCCAAGGAAGCCGGGCACCTCCAAACTTAGACATCCTGAGCCCAGGCGTGGAACCAGCCCCCTCGCGCTTTGCCGAAGGCCTCTCTGAGCTCCACACTCGTGTGCCAGATGCGCAAGTCCAGAGATTTGGGATGGGGTCGCCGCTCCTGGTCCCTGCTCACCTGAGTTTCCGTGAGGCTGAGGCTGTGCGCCAGCTGCTTCCTCTCGGCGCCCACCACGTAATGGTTCTTCTCGAAAGCGTGTTCCAGCCTCAAAAGCTGGGATGGGGAAAAGGCGGTTCGGATCCGCTTCGGCTTTCGGGCCAGCGCGTTGTGCAAAAGAAAGCTCTCCGGACTTGTGTCGTTCCCTGCGGGGGACACACCAGAAGGCCCGTTAGAGAAAGCCGTCCGGGCCGGGCGGCGCGCTGGCTTCTTCCGAGCCGGGCTGCCCCGGCATGGCGCTCGGGGCCTTCTCCCGGCCCGCTGGGCTCCGCGCGCCAGTCAGCGGCCCTCGCACGGTGCGCGAGGACACCGGCCCAGCAGTCAGCCCTGGAGCGCCAGGCCATACCCACCCCGCAGCTGTCCCCGCGGGGCAGATCCCCAGGCTGCCGACCTCCGCGGGCTTCGCAGTCGCGCTGGCGCCACAGAGCTCGTCACCTCCGCGCTGGGCGCGCGGGGCAGAGGAAGGGGCAGCGGAGCCAGATCGGTGATTGGCGCCCAAGGCCCAAAGACGCTGCTTTCTCGGCTTTCTAACCTCTCGGGGAACTTTGACCCTGGGGTAGAGAGGTGGCGAGCCGCCGCGCAGTTTTCTCCAGGACTTATTTTTAAATTATTCGCCTTTCCCCTCCTCTGGGCTGCAGAGGTTGCGGCCGGGCCACGACCGAAATCGCTTCGTTTCTGCCGCCGCTGCCGCCCGGGGCCCCGGTTCTCCTGCTGCCCGGCTCCAAGAGAACTGGGAGACGCGAGGGAAGGGATCGAAAGCCGGAGGTTACCGGGCTTTGGGCACCCCGTGGGACTGTGCGCGACCCGGAAGATCCCCGCGACTCTGGGCCGAGCGCGCGGCCCGAGCGCAAGCCAGGCAGAGGACGAGTAAAGGGAGCCCAAAAGTTTGCGAGCAGAGCCAGAGTTTCGGGTTCACTCCCTAAGGGTGGGAAATCGATTCACCAAAAACCCAAACAAAGAAAAACAAACCGACAGCTGGGGCGGGAACCTAGGCAAATCTCGCCCTGGAATAGAGGAGAAAGGTTGTTTTTGTTTTGTTTTTAATTGGGGGGGGGGTGTGTGGTGGACATCTTCCCGAGTCTGGCTTCTGGCAGGAATGCAAAGGGTTAAGGAATGGACAAGCCTCCAAGTATTGATCGACTGCCGCCGGAGGTAGGTCCCTTCCCGGCTCTGATCCCCAAACTAATTACTCGCCCCATTTTCTGGAGTTTTAACATTCCTCCCACCCCCACCCAGAGGGGGGAAAAAGCAGTTTTTTTAATAGCAAGAAAATAACACTCAAATAGATCTCCTCCTGCCTGTCTCCCGACCCTATCCATTTCTTCTAAAGGGAAAATATAACCCAAAACAAAAACAAAACCAGACGGAACCTGCCTTCCCGCCGCGCCGATCGGCGCCCGGGCGGAGCAGGTCGTGGCGAGAGTACCGAGCCCCGAAGTTTCTACCCGCGCGGGTTCCCGCCCCTTCCTGGTCCTCCAAAATAAAGCAAAATAAAAACAGAGGAAGAACAGAAAAAGCACAGCCTCTAGACTTTTCTCGGGGACGTAGAGGTGCCCTCGCCGCCCAAAGAGGGTTCAGAAACTGAGCAGCCGCGGGTCTGAGCGGAAGGGACGCGGACCGGGTGGCGAGTCGGGGCGAACTCCGTCGGAGGGGCACCCCGCAGCCCGGCCCAGCCGCCGCCCCTCCAGCCAGGGCCCGAGGGCATCGCCGGGGAGACCGAAAGCCGCGGCACCCCGTGGGCCCCGCGACGCCGAGCCGGCGGAGCCAGCTAGTCCCGACCCGAGCGCGTTCGGGGACAACTTCTCCTCAGCGTCCCTCTGTCGGGGTCAAGCGGCCCCTGGCCAGTGCCCGGAGCAGCTGCCGTTCGGGGAGTGAGGACCGCCGCGGAGCCCGGCCCTCGCCGCCGAGTTTGCGGTCCCAGCGCGCGGCTCCGCGGAAAGTCCACCCGGGCCTCCCTCGCCGACGCCCACCCGAGCAGGCCGAGGGCGGTGCGGGCTTTCGCGCGGCGGCAGCCCCGCGACGTGGCACCTACCTTGGAAGCGGTGGCCCAGATACCGGTAGCGGTGGATGAGCCAGGGATAGAAGGTGGACGGGTCCCGCTGCTGCGAGGCGAAGAGGGGGTGTGGCGAGTGCGAGGAAGGCAGGGGGTGGGCGGCCAGGGCGTGCGGCGGCGGCACCGGGTGCACTGGCACGGCGGGGTTGGGCGGGTGCGAGACCGCCTCGGCGAACACCAAGTCCGGGTTGGAGTAGACGCCCCTGCCGGCGGCGGCGGCGGCGGCGGCCGAGTGGAAGCCGTTGAGGAACGGGTTTATGGGGCTGGAGTTGGCGTAGCTGAGCGCCGCGGGGCGGATGGGGTCCTCGGAGCGGGAGGCGGGCAGGGGACTGTCCTTGGCCACCAGCGACTCGATGGTGAAGCAGCGCTTGGGCGCCGGCTGGAACATGCTGCGCCGAGGAGCGCGCGCCCGGGGCTCCCCGCTCCGGCGACCGCGGCGCGCTGCCTTCGCCGCCCGCTGCCCGCGGCGAGGACCGACGAGAATTGGGGACTTGTTTGTTTGGGGTGGGGGTGGGGGGAGGAAAGGAAGAAAGAAAGGAAAGGAAAGGAAAGGAAAAAGGAAAGGAGGGGGAGGGGGAGGGAGCGGTAACGCGGAGGGTCCCGAGAATCTTGCACCAAACGCGCCCAACCTGGAGAGAGGGGGAAAAATCCTTCCAGAAGAATTTGCAGGCGTGGATTGGGGTAATTTTTTTTTTTTTTGCGAGATGGCGTGGGGGGATCGGAGTTAGAGGCAGGGAGGAGAGGGGGGGAAAGTTTCTCGGGGGAGGCAAAAAAAAGTTTTCTCTCCTCTGTAAAAGGCGGGCAGGGCGCCCTAAATCCAAGGACAATCCATGGAAGTGTTCGCTTCTTCACAAGTTGTGCAAACGATTTGTTAGTTCATGAGCCTAATTAGTGCGGGGATCACATAAACAGCTTCCTCCGAAGCCTGGTAAATGGCTTGATGATTGGTCGCTATTACTCGCCCTGAGGTGGAAGGGGGGAGACTCTTTAAAGTGCGTCAGAGGGAGGCGAGCGCCTGGGAACCCGGAGGCCTGGATCCGGGCCGAGAGTGGAACGGAGTCGGCGCCGCCGCCTGGGCCGAGCCTCCAGCGGCCGCCCGCCGGCCGCCCGGTCGCTCCGCGCCTTCGCCCCGCGCTCCTAGCTCACTGGCTCCCGCGGCGCCCGCGGCGTCTCCTCCTCGCTCGCCTCCTCCTCTTCTTCAGCTGCTTCTCCTCCTCCTCTTCCTCCTTCTCCTCCTCCTCCTCTTCCTCCTCCTCTTTCCCCACCTCCTCCCCCTCCGCCAGCGCCTCCTCCTCCTCCGCCAGCACCACTCCCTCCGGGGCACCCCTGTCCCTGCAGAATCCCGGCCGGCGCCGCCTCCGCCGCGGCCCCCGGGATCCTGAACCTGCTGCGCCCGCGCTGGTGGGGCGGCGGGACAGACAGACGCGCAGATTCCTCAGGCCGCGAGCTCCGCCACCGCTGCCCCCCGCGGCGGGCGTCGGGGGAGCTGGGATCGCCCCGGGAGCTGCGCGAGGGTAAGCGGGCCGGGGTTGGTGCCGGGACAGCGCTGACGGAGCGCGGGGTGGTAGCTGTTCCCACCCCCAGCGATCTCCCGGCGGTCTCCTAGGTGAGGAGGGCGCCTGGGGGTGGGGGGTCCTCCGGCTCCTCGGAGCCCGGCAGTCTCGGGGTCGCGGGGTTCGCGATCCTTGGCCCAGCTGGGCGGTTTACCAGTTCAGGACGGGGTCGACGACCCCTGCCGGGGGCTGTGGGCTTCCGACTTGCCCGGTTCTGGTCCCGCGGGCTTGTGCTTTCTCGGCCCGAAAGGGTGCTCACCTTCTTCCCCCAAACAGCTCCCTCCGTAATCTCTGGGACCCGGAGTCCAAGGTCAGGGGAGAGACGGGTGTGGTGCTGCTACTATATTTCCGTTGTCGTTATTATATTTGTCAGCTGTCATTGTTATTATCGTTATCGTTATCATTACTACTACTACTACTACTATTATTCTTCTGCCATCTGTCGTCCCAGGAGCGGGTTGCTGGGCAAACCCAGGACTCGCAACTGGGGACTGCAGGTCGTGTCTCCCGGTCCCGGGCCTTGTCCGCATTTTCAAGCTCGCCTTCGGTTTTGGGATGATTTTAGGGCCCAGTTCCCTCGTCCCGATTGGCTCAGGCCGAGGCATAATTATGATCACATCCCCCAGGCTGCTGGCGCTGCTCTCTGTTTATTGGTGGTTAAAGATCTATTATCTATTCATCAGCCGCCTCTTTTTTTTTCCTTTTTGCCAATTACATTCTTCTAAAGTGAAGGACCAGCAGGTATTTTGCACGTTTACAATTAAAAAAATCTGGCGTCCTTTAAATCTGTTACTCCAGGGCTCATATCATTTCTCCTGTGGATGAAAAAATGCCTGTGTTTGGTGACTAAGTTGCGGTGGGAAGTGGAGGCTGTAACACCTTCACCGTCATCAGTTGGGGCCCCGGGTTTGACGCCCTCCCCCCCCCTTGTTTCCCTCCTCAGGCTCAGGGGTCACCCCTGACCCTCCCTGGTTTCCACTGGTCACAGAAGTTCGTGTCCACTTCCTGATGTCTTTATTCCAGGTTTCAGCTTGTATGTGGGAATAACCAAGACAGGAGATGAGTTAGGGGCATGTTTTCTGAGGTTATCTGATGCCTGGCATAGTGAGGGGCGGGAGACCCTCTCTGCCCCTCTCCACGCCTCTAGGCACACACTTAGTCACCTTCATCCAGTCTTTCAGCCACAGGTGTGGGCCTGGCTTCACCTGTGCCCAGAGGGGACAGCCTCTGCCTCAGGCTGCGGAGCTCTGATGCCACACTGGGCAGGGTGCAGCCAGCTTTTTACCCTTAGTGGGCTCCTGTGTCCTTACTCCCTCTAGATGGGGGAGGTCTTCTTTTTACCAGGCCAAAGGTTAGAGAGTGCTCAACGACAGCTTCTTGGGGAGAGTGGGTATATTTGAAGATGCACCTCGCTGGCACTTGAGCCATGGACCTCCAGTTTGGAAATTCTCCCTCAGTAAGACCGTAGGGACAGGGCCTGGCCTTGCTGACGTAGGTGGGGAATTTGAAGCCACCAGCTAAGCTGGGGGTCCTTTGGCTGTGCCAGCCAGAGAGCCTGAGAATGGGGGTGGGTAGGGGGTTGAGCCCTGCATTTTCTAAGCCAGAAAGAAACAAACTCTCGATTTAGATAAGATGCAGATCCCAGATCTTGGAGCAAGAGGGAAATGGCTTCCTTCTCTTGGAAGGCTCCCAAATTGCTTTCAAGCAGGGCCCTCCAAAATGGACCTGAGAGTCTGGATCAAAACCTGGAGGCTCTAGGAACCCTGCCTTGGCACAGGGTGGGGAATGACCTCCCATTGCATGACTGGTTTTGGTGATCCTGACTGGAGGATGATGATCTTGAGGCAAGGAAGGTGGGACACAGGCCCCCACTGTATCTGACACACAAGGATACTTCCCTTTTTTAAAACTCAGTCTCGACTGCTACGGTGTATGTTCCCTCTGAACCCTTTTCCCCTTTTAGACTAGGATTCAGCCGGTATCCCCTAAGGACCTGCCAGTCCACCCATGCTGGAGGCAGATACTTTGGGCCGCCAGAGACGCCAGGCTGTCCCCTGCCAGGCAACATCCTCTGCAAAACACAACCTTTGCTGACTGCCCTTCAATGACTAGGTTTGCCCCTCGGCCTCTGGTATGCCTGGCAGGCCAGGGCAAGGTTGGGGTGCCCTCCTGGCGGGCGGCAGGGCCTCAGGAGGCCCTCATTGTGTTCCCAGAGGTGGGTCTCCAGTGAGTCAGAGGCTCCCAGAAGTTTCTGGAAGCCTTGTAATCTATGCTAATTCATGCGCTCTGACCTGAGGAGCTTGGGAAGGTTGGAGTTGCCAGGCCAATATGAGGGGAAATTAACTAGAAGAGTGATACATTAACCAGATTGGCTGGTGGAGGCGGCAGGGCGCTGGGTGCTCTGGTCCACACTGGGACCCAGAGCCTCCTTTCTGACTTCTCTGTCTCTGACCCGGAGGGCCGGGCTGCTGCCACTCACTTTATTCACAGTATTGGGCTAAGAACTGGGGCTCTCTGAGTCCCTTTGCTGTCCTTAGCAGGGTGGGTGTTTGGTTAAGTATCTGTGAGTGCAGGTGGGGGGTGAAGGGGTAGGATTTCTGAGGGTCCATTTCAAGCAAGGGGTTCCCTTTCCCCAAGACCCAAGTTGTGTGGTTTGGGCCGAGTAGACGCAGGAATCTCCTTTCTTCTGGGAGACATGACGAAGGTCCAAGTCTTCCATCTGGATCTGTCACTTTCTGAGAGACCGTTGGCAACACCACAGCCTCTTCCCAGCCTCCATTTTGTCATCTGTAAAAATATGGCAATGCTGCCGGCCCAGACAGTGGAGGCTAGGAGGCCAGCCTGTCTGGGGGAGTGATGGAGAGCTTCTGCTTCCTGGTCGTGGCGGTAATTACATGTCTGTGTGCATTTTTCCAAACATAGAACTGTACATGTCCAGGATGAATTCTCCTGTATACACCTTAATGAACCTGCACCCTCCAAAAAAAAGAAAGAAAGAAAGAAAGAAAGAAAGAAAGAAAGAAAGAAAGAAAGAAAGAAAGAAAGAAAGAAAGAAAGAAAGAAAGAAAGAAG